TATCACCTTATCTTCCTGTCAAACAGCCTGTAAACCACGCCGCAGTTTACACATGTCGGAAACAGAAACGAGTGAAAAGTGTTTAAATGATGTATAATTATGTATAATAAATAAGATCTCGCAGTGCTGCGGTTGACATTGACCTTTTTTTAGCTGCTCGTTAGACAGTTTGTGAAAATTAACAAAATTACTCAGCCGCCACAGAACAGAAAATGAAAAAGTTGAAAAATCTGAAAAAGTTCCAAAGGAAATTTTGATTAGGAATCTTGTGGGAGCCAGTTTTGTTCCAAAACAGTGGATAGTGTTGCTGTCAGTGACCTTTGACACCGGCGTATCGTCTTTCTAACGACTTGAAAGAAGCATTCATTTCTATTCAATAATGAGTGTGACTGCAGACTTGAAAATAAACTTCAACTTCAAAGGGTTTTTATCATGCGATTAATTGAATAGTTAGCATCATCCATGGTTTAGCATACTAAAAAAAAAAAGTACTATGAAGAAAAGAAGCTGAATGGTAGAGTGAACTGACCTCAAAACAATTAGCTCTGAATAAACTTCTCTTTGTGGATAGGCCTTTTATCTCTGAAACTAGCCTAACTGTACTGGTGGTTTGTAAAAGTAAAAACGTTACCACAGTCAAAGTACAGAGAAGTTGCAGTGATAGCACATCACAAGCTCACTCTGGTTATTACTGGGGTAGTGCTGCCTATTGGATTTCCAAACCCCATAATGCTTCCACTCACATCCACCCAGCTTGGCCCCAAATATGATTTAACACTCCATCACCGTGTCTCTCAAAATTCTGAATACTGTCAACATTAATAGCTCCAAGTGTCTACAGCATATTACTAATGTGATTTTCAGACCTGGTCAATACATATATTCCAGGGAGTAATACATTTATCCTGCTTGTAAACCTCTTAACCGTATTTGTCAATGGCTCATTCTCATCCTCGAACAACAGGATTGTTTTCGACAAACATATCTAATGTCACCTTGATACGCTCGCAGTGTTGTGTTGTCTGGAAGACACCCAGTATCGTGTCACATTTAAAGGACACAGTGTTTTAGCTCGAAGCTGTGATACATGTATGTTTGTTATCAAAAATATTATGAAAAAAAAAATGAGCACAAGTACTGGAAGCTCAAAACTCAAGTCCATCAACTGTTCATAATGCTAACTGGTTAGCAACAGCACTTAACCACCAATGAAAACACATATCGTACATGTTTATTACGTAATTATAAATCCTCTTTCTCTCTCGCACACACCAGTTCTTCTCATTGGTAATACACAAACATTGTGGCATTAGTAGTTTAGGAAAATGAAGTCAGTTCGACTTTGATAGCTTCCGTTGACCTAGCAAAGCTATATTCCATGGTTGTAGAAATTTCAAAACGACAACAGTTCACGGTTGTTGTAGAAATTTCAAAACGACAACAGTCATAAGTGAATTTCCTGCAGCGACTCCTGTGATCGTTGATGATCGGTTCTAAGGTTGGCAGGAAGTTCACCTGTGTTTTTGTTATAAATGAACTGCTCTCTCAGATGAACTCTCAGGCGTCTGTCTTCTTTAGAACACGTGTCTCTGTTTGATTCCTTTTGCATTATCTGATTATTTTCTTTAAATATATAGTTCTATTCATTTGCCAAATCCTGTGGATTTGAACCGGGGACCTCCCACGTTTCTTTCCTAACCAACCATTACTCAGCAGTCGACCCCTAAAGATAGTCAGTGGATGATATTATTTTCAGCCAACTGTCACTTTTCATGTTAGCACTTGCCATTTTCCCAACCGTTCCATCCCTGAACAACAACTCCCTGATGCACTCCCAATGACAGAGGAAAGGAAATTATTGAACATCAATACAATAAAGCTGTCTGGTAACTTAATAGGGCTGCTGAGAATAGGGACAGCATGGCCATCTTGCTTTGAGGCGATAATGAGAGTCATCATTCCCTCCTGTGTGGGGGAGCATGGAGCCTCCTCTGTGGCCGTGGTGTGTATACATGTGTGTGCAAGTGTTGGCATTTGTGTGTTTTTTAGCCCAGTGAGGCAAAACTGTACAGTGATTTTTTTTTTATTCTTTTTTTTGCCTGAGAGATTAAGTATTAACTGAAGCTTTGGAAAAATCTCTGAGAAAAGTCTGGTTATTAAATCAGGCTAAAGTCACAATATTGACAATAGAGACTTTAGGGAGAAACAAAGCATGGACCGTTCCATACTTCATAACACTGATCTGTGGAACCTCACATACACATGTATGTCTGAGAACCTAACTAGTTCCACAGCTGAAATTCAGTTAGTGATATTGTGATGTATTGTTATCAGAATTGAGTGTGGGAGATCTTTACTGCGAGATTACTTGCTTTAATGTCATTTGTGCCTTCATTATTTCCGTAGTTAGTTCAGCCAACAGGAAGGAGTTGACTCTCTGTTGAACAAACAAGTATTTCATGTTCAGATGCTTTAATATGTTTTACAAAAGTAGTAGCTGTAGTTGGCTGGTTTCGTAAATACTGACCGCTAGCATGTAGATGGTATTTTACATATACGTTGGCGTTGAGCTAGCGCATATATTTTCCAATTTAAATATATTGTTTGTATGTAAGTACTCTTAATTTATTTAGACAAAACAAATGTTATTTTTTTATGTTTACTCAGTTTAACAGTAATTCTCAAGTAAAAGAGTCAAAAATAAAAAAACTCCAGCCTCGGATCTTTCTTGGGGAAACTGTTCGCTGCCGAGCTATTGTAACAGGCTAGACCACGCCACACGCACAAGCAGCCTCGATATATTTTTGTTAATTGAAATAATTAACAAAAGTTCTGCGAAATGCAGCTGTTTGCTTCCCTGCTGATGTTCTTATTGTGTCGTGACTGCCTCTGTTTTGTGTGTATGTGTAGTTACATTTTCAAATGTAACATAATCGCACGCAACCAAAAAGGAAATCATAGGGGGAAAAGAAAAGAGTGAAATTGTATCCTGTGGTTTCAGATGTTTTTAACAGGAATCAATGCACTTAAACAATGCAGACAATTCAAAGCTGCACAGCACATATGCATTAACACAGAGTGGGGAAAAGTCACTGGAGGTTATTCCCTTCACTCCAATCAACACTTGACTTTTTGTGACTTTCTTTTGAGATTCTGTTAAGTGTTATAGGGTGGTGCTAAGAAATATGTGTTACTCGGTGTGAAGTCATCTAAGTTTTCTAAAATGTCTATAGCAGTGGTATTCAACCTTGGGGTGGCAACCCCATGTGGGGGTCGCCTGAAATTGAAAAGGAGTCCCTAAAATGTCACCTGAAAAAAAATCATTTTTTCATAATCTTTTTTTTAAAGGGTTGTTTGTTCAGTAATAATTAATAATAATATAAATAAATAAATAAATTCTCTAGGGTTGCCAGAAATGTGTGATGTCAAATCAGCAATTCAATGTGTAAACCTTTTTAATATATATTTTTATTTATGTTTAACATTTTAAACTCCCAATAGTTTCAACTGGATCTGAGTTAGTTCTCATCGGGCGGTCCAACACAAGTCCTACAATTGCAAAGGCAAAAAGCTGAAGCTTGATATCAGCAAATAAAAATAAGAACTAATTATAAAATCTTTGATTCCAGCTTCCGTCTTTTTCTCTTTTTTTTTTTTTTTTTACACAGTGTGTTTTTTTTCAATGTCAAGGAATTTTGTTTCCTCTTAACTCCAAAGGTGCTCCTGTATTTTTTTATCCCCACTTGATTGTTGAGCTGTTATTTAAAATATTTTTTAACCTCTCTGGAAATCTCCAAAACACACAGTGAACAAAGTGCCGTTCGTCAGACTGTGTTTAGCTTAAGAGCTGACTCTCAAGGCAAACAACAACAAAAAAAAAAAATGAACAAAGCAAATTGTTAGTTCGGGTAATTCACTGTGGGTATTTGGAGATTTTTGCAGAACTAATATGCTGACAAACCCGTAGATTGGTGTGGAAAATCAACAAAATTACATATATTTGCACGTATTTATTATTTATTTGAATACCAGGAGTAATAAATATTTAAGACTGTAAATAGCATTTTTGAGTCACGTTCGTGCCATTTTCTCATTAATGTTTAATGTGATCAGGCTTCTAACTTTAGGAGTTGTAAAGCACTGTGAATGTACCTTCGTGATTGGCTTTTCCTACATCGTCACTGATTCCTGCTTCGGCTACAGCCGATGACAATGACCTATAAATACCAGTTCATAAATACAACCGAATCGACTATTTACGGTAAAATGTCTAATTCGTAAAATTACAATTTGTATTGCTTTATAACCAATTATATTTGTATATATTAGATGTATTTTCCTGTCCTGTCTTTGTGTTGTAGCTGGTGTGTACTCAAGGCAAGCAGGAGTCCTGAAAGTGAAGCTCACCACACTACACATGATGAGTAAGATACTTGCTGGCAGCAAGTAGTGTTTTCACGGTGAGAGCCAAACATATTCCTCCAGTTTACACACACTCTCCTCTACGTTGGTGCGGTGCTGTTGACAGTGGGATGTAAGATAAACTGACATCATTAACGTTGCCATGCAAGCACAGCAACATAGGCAGAGACCTCCTCTAACCCCGAGATGACTATCAGACGGTGTTTTCTAAGTACTCAGGTAATGAGCCAAGTGCCTTTACTGAAATAATGTACACACACACGTAAATGGAAGCTTTGTAGCGAGAATGGGAATATAACGCATCCAAGAATCAATTTGTCACCGTTTGCAGTTAAAAATACCCAAACGTGGGTGACACAATCGTCCAAAGAAGCATGTCAAAACAATGATTGATTCAAGGACAGAGAAAAAAAAAGAGAAATATTTTACATTTGTACAAGTGTATAATATCTGAGCAATGGATTTCATGAGATGCAGGGATAAGTACAGTGTAAATTGAAATGATTCGAATGTAATGGCAGGTGCATCGGATGAATCTATGGTTGTCGTTGATGACAAACGAGACCATAGGTACTCACTAAAGGGGTGCAAGGAGTCCAGTATTCAGGATTCAGCTCAGCTCGTGGACGAAGGTCCAGATATTCGGGGTTCAGTTCAGTTCGAGCACGAGTTAAAGTTCCCTTTGTGGAAAATCGGGGGAAAGAAATCAGTTAGATTTGATCGTTAAGCTTCTTTTTTTTTTTTTTTGACCAATGGATGATAACCCAAACCTTGTTTACTAACACACACACACTGTTTATTTTTTCTACGAAAATTGTTGGCACAAAGTAGAATGCCATTTTGTTGATTAATGTTGTTTTCATTTTCACTAACGAGCATGGCTTGGTATCACATGAAAAACATGATAACGAACGTCAGCAGAGTGTGCTAGATTTTGTCGAAATGGAAACAGATGAAAGAATTGTTTGCAGGGCAATTTTGTTAATCAAGAGTACATCTTTATCTGTAGAACACAGAAAGAGAGAGAGAGAGAGAGAGAGAAACTGAGAATGAGAGAGAGGGCGACCTGTAACCTAACGAGGACAAACCCAGAGCAGAACCCGTTGTGTGGGCGTCAGTTAGATTAATTTGGTGATAAGGATTTACAGCAAATCCTTATTCACAGCAGGGGCGTTACAAATGTCGACCTGCTAGCGGGACGGCGAAATTTGCGTGACGGGTCAGTGCATTCTATATGCAGTTAGGATCTAGCTTTTCATTCTGAGGGCTTTATTCTGTGTCTAAATGACAGACCAGTGGCCTGACAGAATCTGCTCGGCCTCATGAGGTCGATGATGTATACTGTAATTATCTGCTGATTCTCAAAATGGCTGTGTGTAATGATGCTACGCTGCATGAAGCCCCAGGCATAAATTACTTTCTTCAGCTGATGACCAACAACAACACAGAGCAGAAGAGGAAAACAGGGACAACGAGGTTATCTGAGCCGCAGCAACACCACACAAAGCCAACAGTAGCTACTAACAGTAGAGAGGTACTTTTCTTAGAAAAAAATCAGAAAAGAATCTATCTATCTATCTATCTATCTATCTATCTATCTATCTATCTATCTATCTATCTATCTATCTATCTATCTATCTATCTATCTATCTATCTATCTATCTATCTATCTATCCATCTATCCATCCATCCATCCATCCATTCATCCATCATCCATCCATCCACACAAATGACAGCCTGAAGGTGAAGTCATAAGAAACTATAAACTAATTGTTAGCAACACTGCATATACATCTGTCTGATGTGCTTTGACAGATTTTGTCTGTGCAACATCTGAAAGGGTAAATAATTAAATTAACATTCCACTAGGTGACAGTAGATGGCTATGAAAACTAATCTGTCTGATGTGCTTTGACAGATTTTGTCTGTGCAACATCTGAAAGGGTAAATAATTAAATTAACATTCCACTAGGTGACAGTAGATGGCTATGAAAACTAAAAAAAACAAACAAACAAAAAAAAGACATTTTTGTGTTTTTCTTTCTTCAATTCCTGTGGAGATATCAGGATTGAATAATTATTCTATTTAATTACACTATTTCATTACATTCTCGTTGTTTGTTTGCTGTGAGATTTCTAATTCAAAACGTGCAGTTGCTCAAAAAAGATTGAAGAATACTGGGTCTAAGTGTTAGACGGTGTTAATAGGAGTTTGAATGGGAGTTATAGCAGTCTCATAGTGTCTTAACTGAGATAATATAGAATAAAAAAAACAAGATCAGAAGCAATTCTGACATGAAGACTCGCTGCTAAAGGTCCACGTAAATGACAAAACTACAAATGTTATGTCTTTGGATTTGACTGACTGCTTGATGACTGGTATTAAAATAGTGTATGAAACGATTCATATGCATACATACAAAAGCAATTTGTTACCGCCGCCATGGTTACATTAAAGGTATTATGGTAAGGTATCCTAAAATTAAAAATGAACAGTTAATGTATGTGGGTTTTTGTTCAATACGGTCAGAACTTTTCTCCCCATAATTCTTCCAATTACAGCAGAATGTTGAGTAAAATATCTCATTATGCATAATATATTAGATTCCACTTGTCTGTCACACTAATTAATGGCAGTCCTTTCCCATAAACCGTCCAGAATCTAAGAGTGCTTATTAGTATTTAGCCATTTATCACTGAAATGATAAGTGACAGAAGGAGAAAAGTGAAAGCTGGCACATTATAATTGATCATTTTTCACTCTACAGTGTCAGCGGCAGAAAGGTAAATCCTTCCCTGCAATGACTGTCAATGCTGGTTTACAAAAATGAAAAGAAAAAAAGTATTAAAGGCGGAAGGTTAAGAATTACTTAATACAGTCAATCACTGTTTTTGTATTTGCATTTTAACCTCTAATCTCTGCCCAAACCCTTGACTTAAAGCTCTCAACAGTTTGTAGGAAAAATTCAAATCTGCTCTATGCAGCGGTAGACAAATCACTACATCACTAACGAAGAGATAAGCAATGAAATATATATATATATATGAATACATATATATATGTATGTATGTACTGTATATTTGTATGCAGGTATGCACGTACATATACGTATATATGTACATGTTCATTCATACATGTAGTTCTTACAAAGAAACGATACTATATCTGAACAAGGAACGGTGACAGAACAGATACAAGAAAAAGCTAGATTTTTTTTTTTTTTTTTTTCTAGATACAAGAAAAAACTAGATTTTTTTTCTTTCGGATTTTTAAATGGCTTCTGTCTTTTTGCCTACTTTGACAGGCGCTGGCTCCAATCATCCATCTCACCTCTGCTAATAAGAATTGTCCACAGCCGACCAATCACTAATGGCAAAACAATAACATCAGAGGATATGATGTGTAATAAACTCCTGATTCCAATTGAAATAATCAACCAGTCGATTGCGTTTTAGCACATTTAAATGACAAGCAATTCAAAAGCGGTAAGCTAACTGTGTAAGACTGAAGCTTAACTGTTCACCTGCCAAGGAGGAAATGTAGAAACATCCATGAATTATTGATCACTTTTTCAAAATACTTTTACACAGTTGGTGAAAATCAACTATTTAAAAAAAAAATGGTTGAATGTGAGACACCTTATTGTAAAAAATCTTGTTTTGTTAAAAAAAATTGAGTTGGAAATCAACGTTAGACGACGTTGAAAAAGATGGACCGAAACTTTTCGTTACTTGTGGAACTATCTCTGAGTAGAAACAAAGTGGGACCAACTTGTCACTGCTGTGGTATGGCTTTGGATCGGTGCGGCGGGATAAGCAGTACCACAACATACATAACACAGAGTCTGGACCGAAAATAAATGAATCCTTTTTCTGTGCAGGATACGACAAGAGGTGACAGCGTTGGCTCATTATAGCTGTGTGGGTAGGTATAAAATAACTTATTTGCTTACAGTCATGACAGCTTAAATTATGCTGGAGTCCCTAGAAACGGCTGGGAAATGGGGTATCATGTTAAAAGAGGATAGGGCATCCAGCAGTCATGTGGTTCTAATTCAAACAGCCTGGCGTGACGACAGTCATTCAACCAACAGATATATACTGTTTCACAAGGAACAGGTTTTCCCTGCTGAGGTTACACAAAAAAACACTAATGTATACATTAATCCATCTTGAATACATAAGATGAATTTAAAAGAAAGAAACAAACACGCTATTTATAATCCTCGTGACAGTTTTACAAAGTTTGACCAAAACTCTTTATGCTGACGCACTTAGGACTAATTAGTCTTTGAGAAAACATCTGTCAAGTTTAAACATTAGAATTAATGCCATGTTAAACATGCAGCACGTGTTAGCTCTGTTTTCCGAGCAACATCCTGTACAACTAATTGCAGTATACGTCTTTGGTTCAGTTGTTTTTTCATTGCTAATATTTATCTCCAGAGCGGTTGTTGTGTTAAAAAGGGGGGGGGGGGGCACATGTGGCAGATTTTCTGTCAGAGGGTCAGGAGGCGCCGTAGCTGTGTTCTTAATTATAGAATAATGTATGGGATTAAATAACTTTCATAGCCAAAGGGCCCCAGAAGCCCATGGTATTGGACTGGCTATAATCAAGCTTGTAACACGTCTGACCTTGGTAATGGTAAGAATGACACTGAACTACTCTGGGTCTCCCTCTACTCTGTACACTGTGGGCTGAGACGATGAGCTTCATTAGGGGGATAGAACACACACTAATTAGCTTTACCATTGGTCTACGGCTGCCAACCCTTCCCAGTCACAGCAGACCTTTTGTGCTGTGTAATTACCTCCGAGATACCAGTGTGTGTACTCCTCCCTGACATCACAGAAGACAACATTTGTTTTTCAACATGTGCCGTGTGTATTGGAAAAAAAATACACAGTGTTTACCATGTGGACTGTGTGGTTTGAGTCACAAGGGAGAAAATATTGATGAAATCCTCCAGAGTGTTGGGACATTTTTGACTCATGCAGGCATCACTGAGACAGTGTCCATTTCATTAACCCGAAAAATGAGCACCTATTATAGAAATCATTTTCAAAATTACAATTTTTATTATTATTATTATTATTATTAAGTTTAGTGCTAATAGTTATCACTTAAAGCACAGTGAAATCAGTCACAGCATCATCAGACTCACATGTGGAAATTCTTCCACACGCATTGAAATATTACGACCATAATCACGCCGGTGTTGGCACTGCTGCATCAGACTGAACAGTCTTACAGTGTGTATTAACGCAAATAAGCTCATAACACAGAGAGGCTCCCTATGGACATGGGATGGAGATCAGCCCAACATTATTGTCTCCCATTCTACTCTCAACTCACAATTTTCTGTCATTTTCTTTGCGTGTTAGCATTTGGCTCTTTCGCAGACAATGCCGCAGCAAGTGTGATTTGTATTTTGGACCAGCGAGGGGAGTATTGATTCTGTGGTGTCGATATATATCAATAATGACATGAGTATCGATTGAGTATTGATTACTAATTAATAGACTAAAAAAGTTCATGTGTCACTTCCACACCTTGTTAGGCTAACTTACTACATACAGGCTTTTGTGCTGCAATAACGTATGTCACATGACCACTGACTGAAGAGAGCAGCGACTCCATGTGGTCAAGTCCACTAGACGTCTTTGTCCTTTAATGATG